TGTGTACACAAAAGGGGGCAAATTCAGCACTGACAAAACGCAGCAAAACTTTTTTTTTTCAATGGAAACTGTGGTTCGCTGAACACCCTGCTGTGTACGCAAGCGCACTGCATTTTCCTGCCTTTTTAACACCATTGTGTTTACAAACTTGTCGCTGCTGATTGGGTAACACCTGTGACCGCCCAATAAACAGAAGAAAACATACCTCGAAGCCTGTTGCGGAACATTGCACAACGTTGCAAGGAAACATGTCGTTCAATTAAAAAACGTTGCAAACCAGCGCAAAACGTTTTGAGATTGAACTCACCCAGGGTGTTCGAGGCAACACCACCGTTTCCGTTGAAAAAAAAAGTTTTTCCCGGGACACTTTCCAGATGGAACTACTTTAATATTTTTATTTAGTAATTTGAATTTGTAATGATCACCGACCCGCCCTTTTCTACTTGAGAAAGTCTTTGCTTTAATATTTTTATTTATTTATTTGAATTTGTAATGATAATTAAGAGGATGTTATAGTTTACCCGCCCTTTTCTACTTGAGAATTTCTGTGCTTTAATAGTTTTAGTCATTTTAGCGGCAATTTTGCACTTTATTTTGAAGGCAAAAACACTTATATTCCGGTCTTGTGCGGATAAGGCTGCCTGACTTGACAAAAGTCCGCTTGATTTGGTTGCAGCTTCACTGCTGAGCTGCGGTGGAGGAATCGCTCTCTGGTGGACACACCGCGCAACGGCAAAGCGCGGCAACGCAATCGAACACACCTCCCGGCTGCACGGTGCGTATTTCCAAATAGGGTCAAATATGAGTGAGCTGGTTTGTGCCTTCAAAGCGTGCCGCCATGTGTGCTGTGGATGAAGGTGTTTATCTGGATTCAAGCTGGTGACACGGTTTAATCCACAAAACATTGCAGAAAGACTTTTATATTAAACCCGAAATTAATTTCAGAAAGACATAATTGAGACAGAAGCTCTGGTAGCTCTGCAGAAAATACAGTCAAATATCACTATTAAATTCAGGACGCAGAGAAATGGGCCACTATAGCAATATTATTATTAGTTATTAGTATGGAAATACTAATAACTAATAGGCATCAGAATTTGGATTTCATTGCATGATAAATATTCAGTTGCATGTTAATTGCATTGTGTTCAAATGTAAAAAGTATATCACAATGCAAAATTGCTTTCTGCTCTTTGTGCACTCAGGGGTCGAAGCAAACCTAACAACATAGAAGAGTGTTTACAGCCAACCAACCAAACTGTAAAAAAACACAGGATTAACACAAAAACACATGTTGTCACTGTTTTTGTCATTTAACTGTTCACATTATTGTCTAAATGTTGTTTCAAATCCTCCTCTACACTTGTCAACACATATGCAATGCTGGAAGGTGTCCATCAATTGTATTAAAATGTATATGTTTGTATAATATTATTTTAGTTAAATACTATCATAATCACTTTTAAACAACACGTGTGATATGTGTAATCGTAGAATATAAACTCCTCTTCGTGTTCATATTTGTAGACATATTACCAAGAACATGAGTACAGTCTACATTATCTTGACACGGTGTCATCTCTCTTCATTGATTTGATCTATTTAATGCATATTTTAAATTCTTCAAGAAAAGAAAAACTTTCTCTTTGATTTAAAATAAAGTGTCAAAGATAGAGCTCCTGTAGTTTAACTTCTGCTCCGGCAGCCCACATCCTCTCAGTCAGCATGATCCCACCACAATCTAGCTGGGCTGCATCCAAAAATGCTTGAGGATACAAATTCAACAAACCAGGACATCCTACACACTGCCAACAAGCACACAGACATTAACTAAGTGGCTGGCAGGTTTTCGGAAGGAAACAAAATAACTTATTTGAAGTGTTGTGGCCTGTTTTTTCAGAGTGCCCATGAAGCTGTGACATGGTGCTGTATATAAAAACATCATGTAAGCTCCAGATGGTGATTACTGAGGCCTCGCAGACTGTCATAGACAGTGATCATACTTGAATAGTATGAATTTGGGAAGATACAAAGCAACTAAATCCAAAAATAAAAGCTGTGTGATCAGGGTTTGGCAGAGATCACAAAGTAAAGATGAGACTTGGGAGATAAAATTAACTGTAATGCATTTGGAAACGATTCCTGTTAACCAAAAAAAAAAAGACTCTGTATTGACTCTGACTTCCGTTTAATGATTTATCAGATGAAAAAAGTGACGGTAAATCAAATCACCATCAAAACACCTTTTCTTTCTCTATAGCACTTCCGTCTAAAACTGCACCTTGCAAGAAAATTACATTTAAGTCAATTTTTGTGCATCAAAGTTGAACTGCAACCAACAGTTAGGAGGGTTTGTTTTCCCCCAAAACATATTCCAGCAGCATCCTAACCACACAGACTCATTTCAGCAGTTTGAAAGAATATTAATTGGCTATCTTGGTCAGCCATCACTTTGGTCCAGACTGAAATATTTCAACAAGTGTTTAATGGATGACTGAATTTCTTCGCACAGGCGGACAGGAATTCATGATACCCACAGCATGACGCCTACTGACTTTAGTTATTTCCCGACTTTTTTCATCTAGAGCCAGCATGAGGTTCACATTTGTGGTTCTGAGTGAAATATCTCAACAACTTCAGGATGAATTGCCAGACAGACAAACATGTTGCCCGGAGGATAACTTTGGTGTTCCCTTAACTTGTGCTCCAACGCCATCATCTGGTCAACATTTCAGTTCATCCAACACTTTGATTTATGACTAAATACCTGCAAAGCAACTTCCACCATCCTCAGCTGTACTTTGTAGGGCTGTGCTGAGTTGAGCCTGAGGATCGGCATCGGGGCAGATTCAGGCATATTTTCATGGATGGGTATCGACTAAAATGCAGCCTCTACAGTGGTTTGTCCACCACAGCCTGTCGGTGTTGTAGCGTTGCTCTCCTTGCTGACAGCCGGGGTCTACACTGCGAGTGAAAACTAGGATTGTGTGAATGTGAAAAATTATTCAGTGGCATTGCTTGTCATTTGGATAAACGTCGCTGGCAGCAGATTATATCAGCTGTCGCTAATCAAGAATAATTCTGTGAGAAACTTGATGGCAAAATCCAACTTTCATTAATATACCAATAACTTAAGTTTTTCATCTTTACAGTTTTGAATCAGGACCCTCAGTATTTACAGCTTGTTAAAATGAGTTTAAATGTTTTAAATAGCTACAGCTGTTATTTTAGTGTGCCAAAAATATATTTAATCAATTATGGGATCAGACTCAGACTTGGATCGTGGCCAAAACAAAAGGGGCACCCCGGGTACTTTGTGTTTAATGTTAGCACGCTAACTCGCTAAACTAAGATGTGTTAGCCTTTAGCTCCAAGCACTGCTGTGCCCAAATACAACATCACTCAACCTCCGCCATGGCTGTAGATGCTTTGTCTTTGGCCTATCAAATTTGTGACACCCCCCACCCCCTTCCAGCTCAGCCCCTGCAGCAACATGCTCCAGTGCTTTCCACCCCTGGAGCAACATAATTCCTGCAAATTAGTTTGATTAGCCACTTGGACTCATTAGACACTGGCACTTTTGGCTTTCTGAGTCACATATTCATCTGATCCTGCGGGATGACGTCTAAGATGCGACTTCACCTCTCAAGCATTAATTAGAAAACTCTTCCACTGATGATCATGAAACACTGAAAAATCTTCTCAGCAGAACTACACTGGAAGACACTTCAATCAAGGTTCAATTAAAGCCTTTATTTATTTATATGAGATTATGCACACACAGAACATACTGTGGGCATCTCACACACACACGCACGCACGCACACACACACATACACACACATCTCAGGCAGGGATTAGAGAATTGTCATGACACAGGAATAAATTAACAAACACATTTTCAGAACAGCACGAATCACATTCAACACAGCACACGTCACTCACATATCACACGTATCACAGCTGTCATGAAATAAATAAATATCTCATAAAATGTCCCCATGCACTGCCTGACAACATTCCTTTATCGTTTCTACTTTATAGTAAAGTAATACTTGTGATCCCACTGGTCTAGTTTTTTTTGTGGTAAATCTGCTGCAGAGTCGTCTTTTGCAGGCGATAACGCACCCAGAGAGGTCCGAACATGTCTGTGTGTCACTGCAGAAGCCGGACAGAGTTAACGTGGAGGTGGTAGAGGAAGTCTGCATAGGACGCTCCCCCGTTGGGACTCTTGTCCTCCACCAGGTGGCGCTGCAGGGCCTCCTCGCAGGTGTCGCCCTGCTTCACCACCCACAGCTGAGACAGAGAAACAGACACAGTCTCGTCAGTGGCTGCGGCGTCATCTGTCAGCACCCGCTGTAATTCATTTATCCTGATGGGACTTTGGCGTGGATGTGGAGGGCGGTGCACAAGGAGGTTACAGCTTCAGCACTGTCTGGGATCTTGAGTAAATATCTCACTGTAATTATATTTCTGTTTCGCCTTTATTTTTAATGGAATGTTATTGCAGCTCTTTCATGATTTTCTCATTTACCTTCAGAGGTTCTGTTAGCTTAAAAAGCCTTGACAAATGAAATAAGTTTTGGAGGTAAAGGTTTGTTTGTTTGTCGCATATCTCAAACAGAAATATAAAATATTAAAAGTCAGAGCAAGGTTAAAATACAAGATAAGAATAATACCGTTGCAACAGGTCGAAGATTATCAAACTTCTGAAGCAAAATACTTACTGTATAACTTTTTCTGGGAAAAATTCTATTTAATTCCTCAGAGTAGCCAATGCTGAGTAACAATATGTTGCTGGTCTGCTGTAACTATCTCCTCACCTCCAGACAGCAGGAGTGTTCACTCTGTCTCCAGCTATGGAGTGTAAAGTATCATTTGATATTAGAGCACATATAAAGAAACACATTTCTGAGCATAAGGAGAAGCACCGGGCTGGCAACTGAGCAGATGTTAACTGACCTCACATTCCGACACAGCAACTGTGTAATTTAAGGTCACAGATTGTTCGCTGACTCATGAGGCTGTTGTTGAAATATGACATCTTTGCTTCAGCTACAGCAGGACGGTCGGCAGCTCACCTTGCGGGCACAGGGTGTCTGGGAGTTCAGTGTGTTGATGAGCGATCGAACACTGACGGACAGAGGATTGTCAAGAACTGGCAGCTTGGTCTGAAGGAACACATGCGCATAAAAACATCAGAAACAGACAGCAAACAGTGAACCTCACGATGCTGCATGCGTATTTTGGCCGGCCAGAAAAGTCTTGAAACTTTTATAGGAAAGCTGATGCAGCAGATGAGGAATCATTCTTTTTCATTTTTAAAATCGAAATGTTTGTGAACCATTATAAAGATTCGAACAGTTTGATTTAAGGCATTTTCTTTGCGGTAGATGCAGCATTACTGTATTAGCGTACTGTACGTGTATACCTCCATCCGTCTAATCTCTTACCTCTCCAGAGGGCAGGGAGGAGAAGCAGCTGGTGTTGAAGAGCTCAACCAGGGTGCATACTGGGACTTGGGTGCCCACCCAGAGCAGCAGGGTGAGGGGTGTGTGAACCAAATACAGACCTCTGGGCTCCAGGCTGGCAGCAGAGCAGCGCAGTGCCTCCTCTCGGTTTGGACAGTTTGGCTGCAGGTTACAAATGAGTGAAAATGTCACTAAAATCAGTCTCTCCAGAACATCTGACACATATTTACTGATTTAAAACATTCTAGCCAAAGCTACAAAGGCTAAAACAAACGCTAAAGTGCAATATCAATGAAAGTGACGGGGTTACTGACTCTATTTCTCTACCTATAAACATTTAAACAACCCTGCATGAAGTTAGTTATCACAAAAAGAGGCAACAACACACACAAACTATCAACGTCTGTATCTCTCACATGAACCTGCTCCACTTTAAATCATTCAACTTAAGACAACAAAGACTTGTTGACACTGTTTTAGAAACTCTCTAAATGACATATCAGCAGTGATACCTCCTAAACAACATGGGTTTTTGACTGCTAGATACAGTATTTTGGTTACTATTCCTGTAGCTCTGTAGTGAAGAATTTCAGCACGATACATCCTAAATCTGATCAAGACAAGCTCCCATGTGTCGATGGTACAGACCAGAGGCAGCAGCAGAGGGTAGAAGTGTGTGGAAGTGCTGCAGGCATCCATGCTGAGCACCTGACAGCGCTGCTGCAGCCGCTGGTGGACGGAGCTCCTCAGCCCCGGCAGCAGCACCTCGCTCTTCCTCAGACTGTTGATGTAAACAGGAAGAGCTCGCAGATACTGAGGGAGAACCAGCTACAGGACACACACACACACACACACACACACACACACACACACACACACACACACACACACACACACACACACACCACCAGAGTTCAGTTCATATGGTCAAAAAGATGTAAATGAACTCCAGTCATAGTTAGGTTTTTTTAAATTTAAAGGTACAGAGGGATATAACAAGATTTACATGTTTTAGACATTTACAACATTTACAAAAGCGCATATTATATTTTAATAGTAAAAGGAAAAAGTTATATTTGTGGAAGGATTTAAAACTTTGAGGTGTATTTTATGTTTCACCTGTCCAGCAGACACTGAAGCAGAGCAGCAGTGTTTGCGGTAAGATGCCAGCGCTTCTGTTGCCTCCGTCTGCAGTTCCTCCCTCAGCTCATGTAGGGGGCGCTCCAACACTGCACAGTAAACTAGACAGAAACCCCCCCAACCAAAACAACAACAAACAAATTAATGTTTGTTTAATTGTTCAATTTAATCTCTTTTTAATTTTGACAATTACTGTAAACTTATGATGCCATAACTAAGAAGGAAGAACTAGGAAGGCAGTCTGTAATGCCATTTCACACAGTTCATAATTTATATTCTACATTTTATTTACAATTCAACTAGACTCCAAACTAAAAGTGGCTTTAGATTGCAAAAAACCTTCTTATGATTATGGAAAATGCTATGGTCTTAATTTTTAGGAACATAGATAATAATATCTCAGCTTTGGGGAAATCTATAAATCATGTTGATCATGGTCGCATTTGCATAATAAAGGCAATAATATTTATCTGACATGTTTAATAGCACTGAAGTTATCACTTCAACATAATATTGATACTATATCGATAATATTGAATACTGGGTGCAGTACATATTTTTGTACTGTACTGTCTATTCATTTCCCAAATTGGATAAAAATATTTAAATATGAATTTGCTATTTAAAACAGAACTGATGCAGATGTTAATAAGCACTGCATTTTTTAGTATAGTATAATGCCTAAATAAAACACCATCTGCAGTATAAGACCCTCACGTCTTTTGCAGTAGAAGGTGAGTAGCGTTTGGGCCTGGTACTGCCTGAATATCTCCTGCAGGTGACGTGAGCATCGAAGGGTCAGAGTGTGAACCCTGGTCCTCCTGTCTCCGGTCTGGGTGCTGTAAGACAATACAGCCTGACAAACAGGAGGGGAGAGAGGAGGATTACGGTTAAACAACAACAAAACAGACCACAGGTCTGTAACTTCAGCCCATTTCTGATCTATGATCGTGAACGTCAACCCACCTGAATGGCTACACCTCTCGCCTCGTCCAGAGCTCTGGTGTGTGCGAGCTCCACAGCCAGCGTTGTAAGCCAGTCAAGAGTCGCCATGGGGACCTGGCCGGGGCTAGGCCCAGGAATAAAAAGTCCATAACAGCCAGACACACGCAAATCTGTCGAGACAGGTACAAACAGAGGAATCACAGGTATGTTCAAAAGACACAGTGTGCATAAAAAAAGAAAATCTCACCTTTGCTGACAAAAATCCTGAGCTCAGCCTTGTAGCCTGTGTCCGTCTCTACGATCCTCTTTAGATCAGTGCTGAAACGCTCTCTATCCAATTCACCCTGTAGTGGAAACGAAAAAAATACTAGTCTACAATTGGACCGCCAACTCATCTGTTTTCAATTCATTATTTATTCTGTTATTTATCAAGAAGAGGAAGCAACTGTTTTTGTATTTTCAAGTTAAAAATATTGTACTTTGTACTCTGGCTGTAGACTTTATTTTTTTTTAGCATTTCTTAGCAGACAGAAATGAAAGTGGAAGCACTCCTCTCATCTATCTCTCAGTAAGTAAGCGAATAGCGTATTTCCTTTAACAAAAGAACACAACAGCTGATCAACTGTTGTAGTTTGATTTCTTCATCCAGTAATACTGAGGGTGCAGCTGTCGATATACCTGGAGGTGGCTGTAGGTGTACAGAGCTCCACCTGTTAGATATGGAATGTGTCCCGGCCAAGCCCCGCCCACATCTTGCTGGGCAAGGACAAACAGGTGAACGCCGCAGCCCTGACTGACGCACTCCTTGGCCAATGAGACGGCTAACTCTGATGGCTGAAAGATGGACTAGGGAAAAACAAGAGAGGAGGGAAAAAATGCAACTGTGAAACTCTTCATACTTGTTGCCCAATGCTGCTGTTGTTTTGTCCTCCCACCTGTACAGGAACGTCAGCTAAAGAGCAGCACCCACTGGAAGATGAAATTTATTTTATGGAGACTGGAGTATATACAGTATATTGTAGAGTCTATGTGTGTGTGTGTGTGTGTGTGTGTGTGAATGAGTGTTTTGTACCTTTGGTTTGTTGGAGCCAAAGAACCCTGAGGACGTGTTTGTGTGTCCCATCTCTATCAGAGGGGCAGTATGGAAGATCAGCAGCTTGCCAGGACAACTCAGGGCCTAGAAACAAACGGCCCTTGAGTCATATCAGGTCCCTGACGATAGTCAAGTTGTTGAGAGAAGATGTAACATCTCTACCTCTAATCACTGACAGCTTGCAAAATAATCAGATATTCTGCCTCCTTGTCCAGCCAAAATAACTTTGAAGACTCACTGACCTGCAGTACGGCTAGTCCTGCTTTGACAGGCAGCTCCATGGGAACTCCACCAGAGTCATCACACTCTGAACTAAACTGAGGAATGAGCTGCAACACACTACACACACAGATATGATCACTTTACGCTAAAGAATACCAAAGTGATGAAATCATTTTCAGCAAAGCAGCAAACAACTGTCTCTTTTATTTGCAGGGAAGTATTTGTTACTTTCTGGGTACAGACAAAACATCTGTAAATACTAAACACCCCCTTTATGAGAGAGCAAAAAAATGAGAGAACATTACGAGCTTCATAAAACCAGACCATGAATTCTGTTTCACCTTTTGTCCGCCTCTAGCTGCTGGGCTCAATTCTTTCTAAGTGGATGTCTGACAGCAAAAACTGAGCTGGCTTTTTAAAGCTCGATACATTAAATGAAAATATTACTTATAAGATGATGTATGACGTATAAGATGAATGAAACTATGAGCAGAATCATAGCATGCAGACTCTGCAAAATAAATCTGACAAAATGGTCAGTTACCTGTCGATACCATCTTTACAGTCTTTCAGGGGCACCAGAAGCCCCTCCCTCACAGGAAGCTGCAGGTCGTCCGTCTCTGTGATGACCAGCATGTGTGGGCGGGAAAGGGCGGGGCTGAGGTCGTACAGGTGGATCCTACTGTCATAAGTCATCAAACCAACACGGACGTCAGACGTGGCCTCACCATCCTCCCTACACAAATAAGATGAGACTTTCAAAATTGCTGGTTGGAAACTAAATCATGTACAATTGTTCCTGTTTCTACAGTATTTACAAACCTGCACAGGGATACTGCTAAGCAGGCTGTGAGTGTGTGTGTGTGTGTGTGTGTGTGTGTGTGTGTGTGTGTGTGTGTGTGTGTGTGTGTGTGTGTGTGTGTGTGTGTGTGTGTGTGTGTGTGTGTACAGTAAGGTGGGAGGGCGTTTTACCTTTTCAGAGAGTGGAGCAGAGTGAGTATTTGTTGTGTTGCAAACTCCAAATGTCCTCCTCTTAGCGCTGAGGCAGACACGTCTAAGGCTATAAGCAGTGCAGCAGGTTCACCCTAGAATTACAAACATTTACACACAAACAGCATCTTTCCCCATGAAATTCTGAGACTATTAAAAGGTCTTTTAATAATGTAAACAGTTACAGCCTCATATTTGAGGACCTAGAATGACCAAATATGTTGTATTACTGCCTAATAAATGTCCTATTTATTAACTAATAATTGAATCATATCAGGTTACAGAGATCACAAATGTGGTGTCCCATATAAAAACTAATTAACGTATTTCTATTTTTGGAGGCTGTAGCAGATCTGTTTTGGGAAACGGACCGCTGCTTCCCACCACACACAGATTGAAATATGTTTGGCAAAGCCCATATTAGAGACTGGTTCCTTTTCAACATCACTGAAGAAGTGCCCAGTAGCGTCAGTAGATGTATGTGCACAGAGACCAGGTACGATTAAAGGCCAATTCATACTACTGCGTAGAGGCTACGCGTAGGCTACGGTGTACCTACAAAACAGATTTGACGCAGAAGTAGAAATTGTTCTTAACATGAAAACAAAGCTAATAAATGCGAAAGGTGAAACTTACCTTCTGAGAATTGAGGATCTCGTATGACCCCATACTGAGTTCAGGCCTCGTGTCTTTGTCCACCCGAACCCCCTCCACGCCTTTGGTGGGCTGGTAGTGTTGCCACGGTACTGAGACGCAAGAGAGCAGAGATAAACTGTTGCTGTATGCAAACAAAGCAACAAACTGATGTAAAACGACTCAAAGGCAATTTGGCAACACTAAAAATTCTTGAATTTTCAGATATTTGTATTATAGCTGACACAATTACTCAATAAATGGATTTGTCAATGGAGAGAAAATAACCAGCTTCCACTTTGATTTTCAGTTACTAAAGTAATTTTTTTTAAGCAAAAGTGCCCCAAAGTCACTAGTTATGTGATTTCTTGGTGTTCTGTGATAGTAGGTTTACACACATCTTCCTTCCCAGCAGCTTAATGTCAACAAAACACTAGCACTGTGTGGAAACTTGGCTTTTTCAGTTCATATGAATGTACTGTTAATGAAATAAATGTATTTAGGACTTTTTATAGTTTTTATTTTAATGTTTTGTGAAAAACACTGCTTGAGCTAAATAAATAAAATGATATTATCACTGTAAGTAAACTTGGTATTAGACCATACAGAGTGTGAAAAATTGTTTTCTGTCAAACGGACAGTGAACCTCCGCTACAGTTTGGGCACGAGCAGGTAGATGCTCACTTTTAAATCCACTGCAAAAAGTGAGCTCTCAAAAACAAGGGGAAAAAGCATTAAAATGGGGGAAATATTACTTAAAATAAGCAAAACTATCTGCCAACAGAATATTTCACTTGCTACTTAAGGACTAACATAAAAGCCGCCTGGTAAGGACAAAAAACAAGTATATTTTGCTTTCAATTAAGATAATTAATCTTACTTCGATTTTAGTTTTTGCAGTGTACCTTCGCTGAGTTTCCCACAGAAGGGACAGTAAAACCTCTGCCCACAGTCCTGCCAGCTCATCGCCGGGCACATGGAGGCTCCGCACCAACCACAACCCATAACACACTCTGGCTCTTTGCACAACGGCAGGGGCTTCTAGACGCAACAGACACACCAACAGTAAATACACATGTTAATATGTGCACAGAAACCTTCGATCTAAAAGGCACATGGGATAATTGTGGCTCTACAAAATGGCTTCACTTCCATGCAAACATCTCCCTAGATATTTTATGTTTCACTATACGTTAAGTTCATTATTGGTGATATATTTCAAACGTATTTTTTTTATAGATTTTAGAAAAAGCAGAGTAGCTCAAAACGAACCTCTCCAGCAGTTTGTTTTGCCAGAGGGGTGACCAGAGCTCCCAGCGGCAGACGGCTGAGCAGGGCAGCCTGACCTTCACAGGGCACACAGTACGAGGCGGAGCGGATGGCAAAGGGACTCGCGTTACCTGGAGTACAGAGACAAGGTCAGGAGTGACATGAAGGTTAGCTTAAAGTACGGTGAAATTCCATCTGGTGACAGGAAGGGCTAGAGGGGAAAAAAACTGACCAACACATCAAAATATCATCTTTGTAATTGGATTTGTTGTGCAAAAAAAACCCCCAAAAGACTGAATCATCTGAGACACTGTAATAGAACATTTTCATTGCAGACAGGAATTATCATAATCCTTGGTCTGACCCAAATATTTAGCATTTAGCGAGCACAAACCACGATAAAGACATTACAGATGTTTACACGCACCTGATGTGAGACATTACATGCATGTTTTCTAAGGCATTTCTAAGTGTCCACTTTCTTAGATTAAACATGCTTAGAATGTGTCCTCTTGTTTTATCAATGCCTGATGTACCTCTATCAATGCATGTAATAATTTCAGTCACACTGATGCTGTGAGTAATGCTGATGCAGTTTTAAGGAAACTATCTGCACCCATAGTACTGCATAAAATACATTTTAATAGAGTATATCTCTGTGACACAGATACAGGCAGTGTTGTGTGAGTTTACCCCTGTCCTCTATGAGACAGGAAGTAGTTGCCAGAGGAGGAAGACGGGAAAAAGGCTCAGAGACGAAGACCTTGCCCTCCCACTCTGCCCTGTCCTCTGCAATCACCTTCACCTGACACAGACAGAAAGAGACAGTCAGTCAACAATAGCATGGTGACATTTCACTATATTTAAATAAAGGCAGGATTTATTATATAATATTTAGATTCATACAATAGTTACAGCCTTTGCATACCATGTACTAAAAAGTTCATCTCATTGTCAACAAAATGCAGTATATTAGTAGTTTTGTTCAATTTGTCAATTGATGCAATGCTTCACGATGCCTCTGCTGTGTCGTCATCCTTAAGGGCAAAATCCTAAAACACGCTGACCAGGAAATAGTGTTTCATCGTCAGAGGAGCTGCAGAAGTCAATCAAGAAGAGATGTTTTGCAAGAGAGAATGAAAGAACTTACAGCACTGGGCAGGAGCTCTGGGTCCAGGCCGTAACGAGACTCAGAATTAGGAGACTGCAGAGAGAAAATATAACGACTCATTCTCTAACCTTGATGTTACTTTTACACGTGGATACTATTCTCGGTGAGATTTTGTTTTTCTAGACTGTATATTCACTATGACTGCAACAATGTTGAGTCTGGAAAGACATCCTTTAATTCTGAGGGACCAAAACCGAAACCTTTCTTATATTGTGTTTTGATAAGCAAAAACATAATTTGCTGGTTTTAGCTTTTCCAATGTGGGGATTTGCTGTCCTTCTCTGTTTTATAGCAGTGAAAACCGAAACTCTTTGGGTTTTGGACTGTTGGTTGAGCAAAACAACACATTTGAGGATATTTTGTGATAATAAAAGCATTTAATTAAGGATAAAATCTGCAGGTGTATTGATTAATCTCTACATTAAAGAGTTTTAATGCTGTTCCTGTATTTTCCCCACCTGTGGCGTGATGTTCCTGTCCTGTGGAGTCGCATTGGGAACAAACTCATTTATGGTTCCTGAGGAGAAAACAGAGTTACCAGAATAGAGTACGAGGTAAGTGAGCTGTTTTCTCTCAGATTCTTTTTATACGGTCTACGTCACACAAACCAGTGGGTGAGGTCACACTATGTCCACTTCTTTTATACCATCGATGACTACAACACTTGTCTGAAAGAATCAAATTTGTACTTTAATCAGTATGGTGGTGGTGGTGGTTTGCACGCTGGATGATGGGGTTAACTTGATCTATTGCAGTGGTCATCAAAGTTGTGTCCATGGACGCCCAGGGGTCCTTGAGGGGATTCCAGAGGGTCCCCAGAAAAAAGGGTAAGGATTTATTTTTACTATAATTGCAAAGTAAATCAGTGGCAGAATGTATGATTGTTTTGATCATGGGTTTCATTCACTTTCTGTAATAAAACATCTAAAAGCAACATTTCATAGGGGTCCAGGTCTAATTTGTGTCCGCTTAGGGGTCCTTGTTCTATTATGTGTTTTTCCTGTAGTGCCACAGGTATGCAGCTTAAGTTATTTATTTTCTCAGAGTCACTGAGTTTAAATGATGAGTTCCTGAGAGAGGCTCTGCAGCATGCATGTAAGCATGTCATGTACACATTTCAAATACACCAACCTTTAGAGCCTGGTGAAAGTGTCCAGTGAGGTTGCTGTTGGATAGGAGAGGATGGTGAGGCGTGACTGTGGGTGTATCCGACAGAGGCCTCCACATTTGCCCTCTCAAATGCCGGCTGTGGGGTACACTGTGGACTCTGGTTTACACACTGTCCAAATGATGGAGAGCTGATAGAAAGATGTTTTTGATGTGATGACTGAGGTTCATTCAGTAAACCCTGGTGTGTGTACGGAGGCTGGAAAGGGGAACATATCGCTTGGTAAGGGCTGTGAGGAGAGTAAAAAGGCATTTGTTGTGGCTTGCGAGTCAGCGTCCCTTCGTTCATAAGAGGGAGAGAACATGGAGGTATATTTCTCTCATGGCTTGCAGCTGGAACCACGGATGAAAGATTAGCATCAGGAGTGATAGGCTGCACACACTGATCAGCATTAACATACAGCGTGCTCTGAGGAGTGTTGCTTCTGCATGAAGCGATGTCGTTCTGGCAGCGCTGGTTGGACGCCTGCAGATGGTCGTGGCAGGTTCTCTGGTCAGAAGGTGAGCCCAGGTTCAGATGATAAAAGCTGGGAAGAGGGTTGCAGGGGTGCTCTTGAGGTGAAGCCGGGGACCAGCCGTTCTGGCCCGCCCACGGCTGACAGGGTGTCTGGCTCTGATTGGCTGTGGGGACGTCCATCATCCTCCATAACCATCACTGATAGGTGTGTTTCTCCGTGGAGGCGGGATCTAACGAGGCAACACAAACATGAACAAATTGACCATCAGGTCGTGATGTTATTCTCAGCTCGCTTCTGAGACAAGCGGACGCTGACAGTCGTTACTGCAGATAGCTTATAGCTACTTGCAACCAATTACAAGCAAAGTGTATAATTTCTAGTGAGATTACATATTTGAAAATGATAATTTAGCAGTTAACTTAGCTGCCATATCACGTTATTCAGCAGGTTAACGTTACCGAAACTAACGTTAGCTAACTACATAATCTACAGACATGATTATGAGAGCAAAATGTCGGGAAATTATTAATATAAGCTTATTATTTGAATTGTTTATCGTTACTCTGTGGTTAGCTAACGTTGGTATAACGTTAATATTAGCAACACAGAGGCATCATGTGTATGTGAAAGTCTCGACATGGACGCCGGACAGCCAGCAGCTTCCCATAAACAAACAGGGTTAAATAAAAAGCTGCATCTGTGGGAAACAATCTTATTTAAAGCACTGAAAAATCTTGAGTCGATACCTTTGGACATCAACGGAAACAGGGGTCTTTTCGTGCGGCACTTGTTCGTCAACATCTTCATTTCCTCCTCTGCGACCGCTTCACTTTACAATACACATTTTTTCGTTATATTAATTAAGATCCCATGATAAGAAACTGTTACATTATTAACTGTAATTTAAGCCACAACATAACCGCTTACATTCATCAACCTGAACCTTTGCTGCAGTGTTAGCGTCACGCTAGCAGGAATCACAACGCATTTCCACCTTTCCTTTCAAAGTAAAAGCATGCGATACTTGAATTCAAAACTACTAACAGCAGTAAATAAAGTATACTGAGTTTCTTAAGTACATTTCAGATAAACTACACTTCTATCTTGTCTAATTGTTCAACTCCTGCACAATACAGGTCAAAGATGACCCATATTCAGTTATTTCATCATTTAATATTTAAAGTAGTCATTAAATATCTTGTTTGTTTTTTTGTTTTTTTTTACCATAAATCATTATTTTCCTTTTATTGCTATATTAACCAACATATTGTATTCCTTCATCAATTGTACCCACATGGGTCCAAAATGACCCATACTTATTCACTACAGAAGTTGATAGGAACTTGTTATGGTTAGCAATTAGGAACATATTTACTGAAGACCACTATTCACCTGCCAAACATTTCACAACTGAACACAGCCGCTTTGCAATCAAAGAGATGCAGCATAAAAAACAGGTAGAGTAAGATGAGGAGGCAATTCTTGAAATCTCTCCCAGATGAAGAAGACTCCTTTAATGACTCGTCCGATGAGTCCTCTGAAGAGGAAACTCAGACACAGTCCACTGATTGAGTAAAAAGGGGACTAGCTGGAATAATATTCCTTTCACTCAGGTCAGTACAAGAAGCCATAACATCCCGAGGAGCTCTGTCCCTCTAAGTTGGTAATTTGTTGTTGGTGTGTCACTGATTAACATATCCTGGGCATCTTGCGGTGAAGCAGCTGTTGAACCAGGTGCAGGTCCTGGGCAGCCCATCAGGATGTTGTGGCTTCTTGTTCTGAACAGTATACCAGATAACTTGGTTGAACTAAACTTGCAGCTCTAAAAACTTAGATCACTTGAAACACATCATTCGTCAGTATGTATGAGCCGTCTTATTCCAAATTACCTTAATTTAACAAAACAAAACCACTGTGACAGATATCCTGTAATCAAGGTCGTTTATTTATCATCGTATTATCATCGTATAACAAAAAGAAGGTTTATAGTCCCTTCATGCTACACATACAGAACTTAACGTGTATTAAAGTATGGTAACATAAAATAAAACAGTATAAAGTTATTTATACACTTATATACATACACATATACACCCTGAACATTTTGCAGTGCATTTTTTGAATTTGTAAACAGCAACAACAAGATAGTGATCATAATATGTTTTTTATCTTCACATAAAGAAGTCTGACATTTGGGAAACAGTGTCCATTTTGACTTAATTTGAGCACCAAGAATCATCAATGTAAAACACAGAGTCTGCCTCCTCTCATCTTGCCAGTCTTGTGGTCTGTCAGCTCAGAACACGGTCTGCACGCTGAGTGCTTTGGGATGAAGTCTCTGATTATCGTTGATATGCCGACCTGAGTCCCGTTTTGTCCAGACCAGACCTTTACGAGCAACCTTAAGTCCTTAAGGCTTATCCAGGCTCTCTTTCCTCTACTCTGGGCGATTATTGCACCCGCTGTGGTGATTGGTCTGGTTGATCGGGCTGGGTGGATCATCTAAAGTCCGCTGCTCTTTAATCCAAAAGCCTGGCTTCCTTTTCCAATGACTGTATTCCAATCATAGGTCATACGTGTTTTGGCAATAAAGCTGGAAAAAAAACTGATAAAAAACAAAAGTGCAGTAAAGTTTGAAGGCGCTACTGGCCTCTGCGTCTAAATGCGCCACCATGAACCATAAAAACAGAAAAGATGAAATATCAATCTATATTTCATCCTAATGGATAGAAACTCTCACAACGTTGCAAAAGAGATGACTGTATGAAAGACAAAGAGGAACAGAGGGTGGTTAAGTGGTGAAGGACAAAAAAGGTGGGAGGGCAAAATTGCACAAACAGATTCATTCAGAACTGTCCGGTACTCTGCTGCGGTTCCACTTGCCCGGGCAAGTTACTGTTTGTGGACGTAGCCCGAGAAGCTCCACTTTGTCTTTTCAGGGCAGTGATCCTGTTTCTGACGTAGTCCTTTACACCTTTCCATGAACGGTTCCTCAGCGCTTCTGGCTCAGCCTCGAGACACTGAATGCAGTCGTTTTTCTGAGGCACCTTGTGTCCTTGAATTAAACGCATCATTTGTCTTTCAACAGCGAGGACCTCTGCTTCCTCCCATTTATGTTTACCATTATTTTGGGAGCCTGTGGGGTAAAAGAGAAACAAGTGAATGTCTGCCATCACTAAAAAAAGATTTCCAAAAATAAAAAAGATCTTACTGTCATCACTGCAACGCTTTGCTGTTCACATTTGTTCTCAAAGACTTCAAACCCTAAACTCCATCATCTTCAGCATCCATATTTTATTTTTGTCATTAACTTGAACAATGACGTGGACAGTAAAGAAACTCAGGAGATACTTTGCCTCAACTCTACTTTGATCTGCATTAATGGTTTTACAATGTGTGGCCTATATTTCAAACCTGAGGGCTGTCACAACAATGTCAATATCTTTAGTAGTAAATATTTCACGTCCCCCCATATGTTGATCTGGATTAGAGAAGATTCCCACGACATGAACAAATTAGCTCATTTTGACATTGAAACAAACAATCAAGGCAATTAATACAGGTATTAAATACAAACATACATCATAATCATTAGTTATTATATGCCATGAAGTAAGAGGACACCTCTTGAGCCTCCACCCCTGAGATCAGTAGTATCACTCTGTTGCTCCGTGTCCTTGTACCTTAACCAGACTTCTCCTCTTGGTTCTTATTTATAAAACACAAACTAGACCTTTTTTTCTCCTAATGACTACAGCTATATATTATTAGCTTCAATACCTTTGTTGCCCCAGTTGACAGGTTTTGGAGTTGCAGCTATGTTGGTGTCTGTTGTTGCTCCATGTGCTTGTTCAGGATAAAACTCTGCTGATCCATTGTGATCCCATGATGCAGCTTGTTGTTCTCTTGCAGATTGGAATCTCTCTGTATCGAAGACAAAATAAATCTTTTGCATAGTCCATCTGATTTTAGTTCCATACACACACACATACACTTCACTGTTGTGAAGTTTGCGGACGACACCATCATCATAGGTGGGATTTCAAACGATGAGACTTCATATTGGCTATTTAGTAGGTTATACATAATGCTTTTAACAATGCTGCTCAGATCATTGAAAACATCAATCCAGCTTTTACACCACAAAGTGGTTCATTTCTATATTTTTGAGTGGAAACTGATTTTAAGCTGCAGAAGATCACAGTAAACAGTTGTGTGTCTTCCTCTTTTTATGTTGGATATTCTCAAAGCGATGGGACAAGCACTGTGTAACCTTATTAATATGGTCTGTGGATCAGTGAGCCGGTTGCAACAAAAGGGCTTACGCCTGGTCTTAAGGTAAGTAGGTCTTAACTCAGCATTCTAAGTCCGACCTAATAGTTACGCCAGTTGCACCATCTAGGCTTAAGTCCTCTTCTCGCTAAGACCGGGCGTAAATCTTACGCCTAGTCAGTAGCAGGGATAAAATCAAAATCTAGGCTTCTATAATAACGACTTCATAACTCAGCAGTAAAGACATGGCGCGCCTTATACACAGACTTCACAACGATCGGGCTTTTAGAGTGGAGAGCTTTATTAGGGACATAAGCAATCCATTAGACATTTACAATGACCAGGAGCTGATTGAGAGGGTCCGATTCTGTCGGAGAAATATGAACTTATTGAAGAGTTGTCATTCCGCTTACAGTTTGTGTCGTACCACAACGCAGCTTGACACCCGCATTACAGCTGTTAATAGCGCTACGTTTTTACGTTTTCAACCCCGTTGAAGACATGATTAATGTCCACAAATCCACCGCATGTCGGGCCATCCGCAGGTTGTCGCTGGCACTGAGCAGTCGCCTTCCACAATCTGCTCAAATCCCCGCCGAGGCAGAGTCTGCAGAGGCCCGATTCCACCGGGCCACTGGCATTCCTGGTATTGTGGGCTGCATCGATGGCACTCACGTCTGGATCCAGGCACCGTCTGAGCATGAGTATCTGTATGTCAACCGCAAAGGTTACCATTTGATCAATGTTCAGATTGCTTGTAATGCTTATTACAACATATTTAATTTGATGGCAAGATGGCCTGGATCGATACATGACGCACGCATCCTCCAGGAGAGTGCGTTATACCAGGATTTTGAGGCTGGAAAAGTAGACGGGCTGCTTCTTGGCGACAGTAGATACCCACTGAAACACTGGTTGATGACACCTATCGTTGCTCCGAGGACTGAGCAAGAACTATGGTATAACACCATCCACACCACCAGGGCTCGAGACTAACGGCGTCCCCGTCCTGGGGACGATAGAAAATGTGTCTTGGACAAAGAGAAATATTCTCTGGGATGCCTCTGGGACTTAAGGGATTGTGTGTGTGTTTATTACTATCAAATGACAAACTAAAACGAGCGCTGACTACAACAGAGCTACAATCATGCTGTTACTACTGTCACTCTCACTGGCTGGCTGCTCACCTTTTCCCGCGGTACATGTCCATCTATCCTCTCAGTCACAAACGGCTTGCTGATCTCTCAATCGCGCTGTATAGGCCTATGCTAATGCATTAAGCGCCACAGATCAATATTGTCACACGGTGAAAAACAAATCTATATTCTGATAACGTCGACAAGCGGCAAATATCTCCCCTCAGCTAATGCAGCTCGCCATGCGATGTGATAAAGTAAAGTAACCCCCCACCCCCGCGCACGGTAAGACGCAGCCAGGAGACCTACTGCTAGAGTTTAGCATTATACCTAAACATCTACAACCTGGCTCTGTTTGGGTCTGTGGGCTGCACTTTATCAGAGCTGCAGAAGTTAACGTGTGGATTTGTGCAGAGATTTCTGCTTGATCACGTATCAAGTATTGGTTTAGATTTCGGTTTGTACCTCTGATGAAGTGCAGTGCACTTGTCTCATTCAGTAAGCCTACAGTCTGAATAGGAACACAGCAGAGTATAGGTCAGGTAGACTTATTAAAAATATTATTAATTCTCATTAAATAATGATGTTAGTCTCATAATATTACTATTTATTTCTGGATCTGTCAGAGAAGAGAGATATGTGGGAGAGATACTGAATATGCAGAAAGTTTTGAACATGAGCAGAACAGCTGCTGAAACACAGGAGCTATTAAAGTCCAGGAGTTTGAAACTGAATTAAAATGATTTATCATTTAAAAAGGGTACCCTGCAATGGACTGGCGACCTGTCCAGGTGTACCCCGCCTTTCGCCCGATGTCAGCTGGGATTGGCTCCAGTCCCCCGCGACCCTGTACGCAGGATAAGCGGTTGACGATGGATGGATGGACGGATATCATTTAAAAAGGTGCCCCAACAGATAACTTTTCAGTTTTGTTTTTAAATCTTTTTGATTGAAACGAGAAAAATAAATATTATTTATTTTATCAATTTTGTCAATTTCTCATCATTTACTATGTCACTAACAACTATAGAGGATAATAAAGTAAAGAAAAAACATTTTGATTTTGGGATACTTTACATTAACTTCAGGACGATTAAATTATTTTTGGGACAGAGGTGAAAAAAGTTAGTCTGGAGCCCTGCACATTACCACTAGGTAGCGGATAGTGGATAGCGGCAAAGTGCTGTCACTAGATCGCTGAAAACTATATAAATAGGCTATTTAAACAAATGCCAAAAGTGACAAAGTTCGATTTGACATTAATCAATCAACTATCTATTTTTTCTAGGTTTCTTTGTCTTCATGGGGAGATGAGGATGCACCCTGAGCAAGTCTGCACCGTACTAGCAGCTTGCACTGTCTTCCACAACATCTGTGTCACCAAGAGGATCCCTCTCCCTAGGCAACACCATCAGCTGGTGCCGGAGGAAGGTGTCGACCTTGTGGGCCATGAAGATGTCGGTGGAGGACTAGTCCGTACATGCATTATAGCAACTATATTTCTAATGGTATTTTTTGATTTCAAGTTCCAGCTTTTCCTGCTCAGTCTGTGATTTTTTTGTTTCAGCCTCCACTCGAGCTATTTATTTCTACAGGCTACACACCTTCACAATTTTGCTTGAGTGGTCGACATCCATCTCTAGATTGACAGCAGTTTGATAGGTCAATTCTAAAGACTGGTCTTAACTATGACCTACTTAGCAGTTAGGACCAGGCTTAGTAAAGCCCTGTTGGTGCAACCGGCTCCAGGAAATCAGCAGTTACACGGCTAACTTTATCACAGGTAACGGAAACCAGTTTTGCAGTGAAGTAAAAATGTGTGGCTGCCCAGATATCAGAGTTAAAATCATTCTTTTGCAACTCGTACAAGTAACATGTAACTTTCTTCACAGCAGACTTAAACACAGACTGACCCCCTTTCTAATCCTCATCTATGGAAAAAAGCCTTACCGTAACAGTCCATTTTGACGTCATCCAGCTCCATGCTGCTGTCATGTCGCAGGGTTTGGACTTGATTATTGGGGCCTAAAATTTGGTTGGCCTCGTTTTCGTCCAGGTTCATCATCTGTAGCATTGTTGCGTAATGCTTCCGGATTTTTGTCGATGTCAGGGTTTCAGGGTCTTGAGCTCCGCATGCTTTCACATATTTTTGGATGCACTCTGACCCGCTGTAGGCAGACAGTGCATTTGGCCGGCCAAACAGGAAGGGATTTTTACTGGGGACTCCACAGGTCTCACGAACCTTCAAAAGAAGCTCCATAGCAGAAACGAATGATGGTTTTAGTAAAACCGGGACCATTCTGCCGCACTTTCCTCGTATATCTACTCTGGTGAAGAATCCACACATGGTTCTTTCCAAATCTGACATGCTTATGTCCATGCCTGCGTGCAGGTTCGACGTTTTCCGTGACATAAAAGCTGTTAGTTGCACTGACGATACCTCTCCGGCTCTTCTCCTGTTGAAAAGTATTGTTCGAGCCAGTATTACCTTGGCCAGAGCAGCATAGTTTTCTGCAGAAGGGCTCTCTCTGAGCTTTTTCTCAGCAACAACATGAACATTCTCCATGTGGAAGTTCAGGCGCTTTACATCTTGAGCTAACGGCACCTTCTTTGCGGTGTTCAGTTTTGTTACTCTGAGTGTTGTTAATGCACCTGCAGAAATGAGTTTGTTCCATTTTTTCTGGTACACAGAGAGGAACTTTCGCGCAGACTCTGCCAGACTTTCATCACCACACTCCACTGCGTTACCCTCAACGATACTACAGGCCTTCTGTAGGTGGTAGCCCAGCTTGATGGCGAGTGAAGGAATGCTGTACGATTTTTTTTCCGGATCGTAGCCTGCCAGGACGTTCACCGCAGACACCACATGTGGAAAGCTTGAGGGGAGAAAGAAATCCTCCAGTTTCTTCAGAGGAGTTATCTTTTGAGCTTCGAGTACAAGCCTTGCTAACTGACGAAGGTTCTGCCTTATATGTTCATGCCTCTTCACATCTGATCCGTGCTGTTTAAACAGGAGCTCGCCAAACTGCAAGATGACCTTGTCATCCATGATAGCTTCAGCCACATGATCGTATGTCATCTGGGACAAAACGCTCTTAAAACCATCAGTTATGCCAAGGTCTTCTGAAGCTTCAAGAAAACACCGCAATGCGATACGCTTTCTTCCGATCTGTGATTCATTTTCATTCTTCACTTTCTCTGGACACAACCTCATGTGTCTGTGCAAAGCTTTCCTCAAATAAAGACCTCGACAGTAAAGACAATGAAGAAAGTCTTGGGCTTTTCCAGTTTGCCTCGGCCGTTGCCGGGCAGCAAGTTGGCCTTTCCCTGTTTTCAAGACATTTTTATTATGGGCAAAGTTTCCTTCATTTGTTAGTCTGTTCCATATCTTTTGTCTTTCTTTGGAATTTTTGGGATACTGAAAGGCAGCTGCAACCTCTGCTTTGTCACTGTGGATCCTCTCAAGATGCCGTGCCATTTTGGACATTGGCTTAGAGCAAAACACACAATAATTCCTCCTGTCATAAACACGCTGCGCTTTAGAATTTGAACATGGCGACACAACAGTTTCAGATGATTTCTTCTGATTAGTTGTCTTTTTGGGGGGACAGACACTTTCAGCCTTAGACAAAGAACTTCCCGCTTTAGCCCTTTTTTTCCTCGGGAGAGAAGGTCTTTTGTCTGTGTCGGTTGAGGAAGTGCTGTGACTGGATTCATCTGAAGAGCTCTCATGTGGGACATAAGAGAGGTCATCATCACTGTGATCTAAGTCATCAAGATCAGCGTCCTCCTCTGATTCGGCGGAAGAATTTTCTGTTTTCTGAAAAAAAAAAGAGGTTCTATGTAGGAATAAAGTCTTCTAACAAATTGTGGTTTCAGCAAATATAATCAAAGATGCAGCAATTGCTGGTTGCGCCGACACTGTACATGCATGTTTCCCATGTATTTGTTTGTTTTAAGTATTTGTCTTTGGTAGCTGAAACATTGGCCACTACATTTAACATATATGATAACGGAAGGTTAAGAGGTGTTGATTCTGGTGCCACAACGTGCCTCATTTGCCACTGGTTTTACTACGAACACCAACCAGGGACCCGAGCCTTTTTTATTAACCTTAAATCATCTGCAACACATCTGCGTTACAATGACACATTACGGAGATTACCACTGGAGTGTGTCAAAGGCAACACGGCCAAAGTAAGGAAACGCGGCAGGAAAGGTGGAATCCGGGAGCAGATTAGGAGGAGGCCTTATAGACAACTTCCACCAATTATGCTCGGCAATGTTCAGAGAATTAGTAATAAGGTGGACAAGTTGCGGGTCTGCACTCTGACTTCTGGCAGTCCTGTCTTATCTGCCTGACTGAAAACTGGCTTACAGAGACGGACCCTGATTCAGCTGTTGACCTAGAGGGCTACACTCTCGTCTCTGGCAAAAGTAAGGGCGGAGGAGTGTGCCTGTTCATCAACAAGAAATATTGTTACCCAGCTCATACCACAGCAAAGCATCGGGTTTGTAGAAAGGACATTGAACTATTATCGCTCAGTCTAAGGCCATACTATTTGCTTCTAGAAATACACCAAATTAGACTTTTTGTTATGTATATCGCCCCCTCTGCTGATACGCAAGATGCTGCCACTATTATTCATGAACTAGTATCCCAGGCTGAAGCACAGGCTCCCGATGCAGCCATCTTCATTTTGGGGGACTTCAATCTATGCAAGTTAAAGCACTGCTCTGAACTGCCTGAAAACAGCTCTCCCTCCCAAACATTAGGTACCCTCCACGCAGTCAATGGACACTTGTTACTGTGATGTACAGACAGTGCACAGATATAACTTTATGGATGAAAGATACATTTGTTATAGATTAATAACTCATCACTCTGAAACTCTTGCTCTAGTCTAGCTAAGCTGGTAAGGGGATATACAGCTGAACTGAAGCCGTGTTTACTAGATTTTCAAGTCCCACCCTACTCTACTTCTGATTGGCTAGTAGTCCTTAACTAAGAACTGCACATGTGCAACTCCCAACAAAGATTTTGTAGAGGTAATATGTATTACTCCATAGCTAAAATGGACACACAAGGTGAAAAGAGGAGCTGCAGCAATGTGCAGCATGACAAAAAAACATGGTGTTTTCTTTAAAATGAAACCATGTAAACCTGTTCTGGTACAACCGCTAAATAAAATGATGAACCTGAAAATGAGCATATGACCACTTTAAGTCAGGTGGAAGCAGAGATGAAAAGAAAATACTGCAGAAAAAGATTCAAATAAAAATTGTTGATTGTAAGGTAGAATATAAATATAAATTATAAAGAGCATGGCAGGGGTTGCATACGATCACTGGATATAAGCCTAAAAGCCACTGCATGACTGTTGTTAATGAACTTGATTTGGCAAATGACTCACATAATTTTAAAACAGAACAGGCTAAGGCCATCATGAAAGTGAGGGATATGGCGGATGTGGATAATTATATATAATTACATATAATTATATATGTAATTTTGTTAGATGATGTTAGACGTGTAAAACCTCACAAAACCCCTGGGCCAGACTGCATCATTTGCAAGACATACAGATGTGCGCAACAACTGGTGAGGCCTTTCCAGAGGCTGCGCCAGCTCTCACTGGATACTGGTCAGTCCCCAACCTGTGGAAAAGATCTATGATTGTGCTCAAAAATAATAGACCTAAGGATCTCAATGACCTACAGACAGCCAGTTGCCTTGACATCTGCAGCGATGAAATGTCTTGAAAAGATTCTGCTATATCAACTACTATTTGAGGTTTCACCAATTTTGGATCCAAACCAATCTGCCAACTGTGCAGGAAGAGGCGTCGCTCTTGAAAAGATGCACTGCTATTTATGATTGGCTGTCTAACATATTTGAGCACCTTGAACAGGCTCACAGCCTGGTCAATATTATTTTGTGGATTTTAGCAGTGTATTCAACACCATCCAACCCTACCTGATGTTGGACAAATTGGTGGATAACTGATAATCACTTAAGATTCAATGAATGTGCACGGATAAAGTCTAAGAAACTACAACAGAGGCTGTTCTGTCTCAGGAAATTTAATCATTCTAGAGTAGACCGTAGTATTCTTCATTTGTTCTACAAATCTGTTTTATAGACTGTCTTTGGACTTATGTTTGGAAACGTGTGTACAAGATCATGCCAAACTGCAGCGGATGATCAAGACGGCAAGTAGGATCACTGGGGTCGATCAGGTGTCCGCAACACAGCTGTCCAATGACCTTATCTTAAAGAAGGCTGATCAGATCCTCAATGATCCTACTCATCCTCTCCATCTGAAATTCCGAAGGAGTAGTAGGTCAAAAGGCAGAATCCTACAACAACTAGGTACAGCAAATCATTTGTGCCTACAGCAATTATACTGAACAAAATTATAAGCGCAACGTCACTTTTGTTTTGTCCCCATTCAGCATGAGCTTAACTCAAAGATCTAAGACTTTCTCTATGTACACAAAAGGCCTATTTCTCTCAAATATTGTTCACAAATCTGTCAAAATCTGTGTTAGTGAGCTCTTCTCCTTTGCCGAGATAATCCATCCGCCTCACAGGTGTGGCAAATCAAGATGCTGATCAGACAGCATGGGTATTGCACAGATGTGCCTTAGGCTGGCCACAATAAAAGGCCACTCTAAAATGTGCAGTTCCATCACACAGCACAATGCCATAGCTGTCGCAAGTTTTGAGGGAGCATGCTGACTGCAGGAATGTCCACCAGAGCTGTTGTCCGTGAATTGACTGTTCATTTCTCTACCATAAGCCTTCTCCAAAGGCCTCACAACCGCAGACCATGTGTAACGACACCAGCCCAGGACCTCCACATCCAGCATCTTCACCTCCAAGATCGTCTGGGACCAGCCACCCGGACAGCTGCTGCTACAATTGGTTTGCATAACCAAAGAATTTCTGCACAAACTGTCAGGAACCGTCTCAGGCAAGCTCATCGTCCTCATCAGGGTCTCGAACTGAAGAGGAGTGGACCAACATTCCAGAGGCCACAACCAACAATCTGATCAACTCTATGCGAAGGAGATGTGTTGCACTGCGTGAGGCAAATGGTGGTCACACCAGATACTGAGTGGTTTCCGGAGCCCCCCAGACCCGCCCAATACAGGAAAACTGCACATTTCAGCGTTTCCCACAGAATGACAGCATAACTGTGGCGGGGGGATGCATCAAAACGGCTCCCCGACACATTTCTGACACATCGCGGACGTCTGCCAGATATCTAGCACGCCAAATATCTGGAGAAGTCGGCCGACTCGACATCCACATCCAGCCAATGAGAGCAGGCAGCTACTTTTTCACCGCAAAACACATTTTATTCACCTCCAGTTTCATGTGTAGGTTCATGTCATTTCACGTGTGTTTTCAAAACGTGGTTTGGAGACCAGCGTCGGGTGACAGAGTCGTTGTCAGCTCGTGTAGTGTGTGACCCCCTGT